GCTGGGCGCGGTGGCTCATGCCTGAAATCCCAGGACTTTGAGAGGCCAAGGTGGGCGGATCACGAGGTCAAGAGATCAAGACCATTCTGGCCAACACGGTGAAACCCTGTCTCCACTAAAAATACATAAAAATTAGCCGGGTGTGGTGGCACGTACCTGTGGTCCCAGCTACTTGGGAGGCTGAGGCAGAAGAATCGCTTGAACCCAGGAGGCGGAGGTTGCAGTGAGCCGAGATTACGCCACTGCACTCCAGCCTGGCGACAGAGCAAAACTCCATCTCAAAAAAAAAAAGATGTTTTCTTGTAGCTGGTAGACAGAGCACTGAACTTCAAGTCAGAAGGTCCTAGTTTATCCATTTGTCAGCTATGTAACCTTGGACAAACTCCTGAATTTTCCAAGGCATAGGTTTCTTCATTTGAATTATAGAGTTAATAAAATCTACTGCATAATGTTCTTGTGAGGATTAAATAAAATAATGCAATATAAGAGAAAATTCCTATTCTGGAGGCCGGCACATAGTGCATTCGTGTATGCTGGTTCAGTATATGCATGAAGAATTCTTTCTTGTGCTGTGAACTATCATGCCTATTTTATTTTTTTCCTGTTGAGGAATGGGGGTTGAATGCACATGTCCTGTCAACATCAGGAACTGCTAACGGTGGGGAAATGTTGGAGAGATTGTATTGTTTCATCTTGAGGATCATGTTTCTAATTAGCAAGAGCCTGTTTTATTTCAACATTAATGGGCAATAGCTCAGCAGATGCTCCCTCTATTCCTGAGTCCCAGTGTGCTCCAAAGGAAATGTACGACAAACACTTCAGATTGAGTACATTGTTTTTTAAATTTATATGGAGTTCTCTTTTATTTGAAAACTATTTCATGAAGTTTTCGTTACTTCACAGACTTTTAGGTCCATAAGGAGACCCTAGTGATCAGTAGGAATCAGACCCTGTTGTTTTATAGTTAGGAAATCAGAGGCTCTATTGCCTCCCCTTCCCAAAATCATTTCAAAAACAGTGACAACTATCTTCAACTATTTAAAAGATTAATAAATGACAGATCAATAAGTCTTACTAAACTGACTTCAGAAATTAATGAAGGTGGGGCATTTTGAATTCCACTTAAAGGGGAAGAGAGCTGTCCTACATCCAAGGAGGTGGCTGATGTGAAAAGTTTGCCATCATAGATGTATGTGAGACGACACTGATTCTACATGGGTGTTCTAGAAGGGATTCCTGCTCTGTCGGAGGGAAACTTAACTGAGCAGTAGAGTCCCTTGCAAGTTTATGATTCTACAATTCTGGTTTTCTTATAGCAAATGCCTTGCAAAGTACAGAGTGCAAAATACATGCACAGCAAAAACATGATGATTATTACCAAACATTCTGTACCCCTAAAGTTGCGATAGAGATAATTAATTCTCTTGTTACTTCCATGAGTTCTGTCTTCATATTGACACTCCATTCATTTTATTTCTCTCTGCCTGCAGGAGCCCAGGGGATGTCAGAGCCCTGTTTCCAAGCATGCCGAAAACCCCTATGTTTGACACAAGTAGGGTTTCTAGGGGTTCAGGCTTGGCAATGGGGACGAATATGGCTATAGAAGCCATGGAGGGGCACCACTTGGATCTTCCTTCAAGAAAGAACCTGCCACAGATGCAAGGAGTACAGTGAGCTGCCAGCTGCCAGATACTAGCTCTTTGAGGATTCATCTCGGCTTTCTTGCTGAGGTCTCAGAAGTCCCAAAGAACCCCTTGCTAATTACTGAGTGTGGCAAAAGTACCAAGGCCTGGCCATTTCAGCATGAATTGGGACTCCTCTTTCAGGTTACCTTTGCTCTGTGGCTGGCTGTTGCACCAGTGACTTGATCAGACCCGCATTGTGATCTGAAGCTACTTCAACCCAAACTTGCCTCTTTCCTCTGTCTTTCCCAGGTGTTGGATCTAAATCATGGTCTAAAGGTGTTCCCTGACCTATCCTGCTTTTTTTTTCCTGTTACCTTTCATAGATAGTACCCTCAGCAAAGCCCTATAGTACCCCTAACTCCATCTCAACTTCTGCTGTCGGAAGGACCAACTGACTCCATGGCTGACCTGGTAGCCATAGAGCTCATAATAGAAGGAAAAAAAGACCACGTCTCAAAAGGAGAATTTGAATCATCAGCATGATATAGAAAACAAGAAAGAGGATTGAAGAACAGGATGTACAAGGAAAAGTCAGAAGGCAGCAGCATGGGGTTTGGAGGCAGGTTCCTTGAAGAAAATATTCTAGAATAGGGAATCATTTCCATAAAGACTCCTGGCCACAAACTAGGGTCAATGCTCCTCAGATAGAAGCCACTTAATAATGTTTTATCTGACGGGGACCAGGAAAAGGGAGAGAAACTGCCTATGCTGTATCCATTGACACTGGCTGTTCACAATACAGCAGCATCCCCAACAGGCTTTACACATGTGGAAGTGCCAGCTTTTATAAGGCAGATAATAATAATTGCTAATATTTTATTAGGACCTGGTATGCATCAGGTCCTATTCACTGCTGTAAGTTCATTTTTCATTTAAGTTTCTGAGGGTCAGAAATCTGAGAGTAGCTTGCTGAATTGGGTTTTTGTGAGGTTGTAGATGAGCTGTCAGTCAGGGCTATAGTCATTTCAAAGCTTACCTCGGATGTTGGAACCAAACCCAGGTCACATGTAATTATTGGCAGGCCTCAGTTCCTCACCATGGGGGCTTCTCCACGGGCTGCTTGACAATAGTAGCTGGCTTCCCACAAAGTGAGTAACCCAAGATAGAGACAATATTCAAGGCAGAAGCCACAATGTTTCCTAACTTCTTTCATCTCAGAAGTGGGATTCCCTCATTTGTGGCATATCCTGTTGTCAGAGACAAGCCCTGTTACAGTATGGGAGAGCCCTACACCAAGGTGTGAATACCAGGAGGCCAGGATCTTTGGGACAATCTTGGAGGCTGGCTACTGCAACCTCTAAAGGTACAATATGAAGTAGACATTTTACCAAGGAGGAAAATGAGACACAGAGAAACTGCAGTACTAGTGGAAAGTTAAGGTTTGAACTGAGAGTCTATGTTCCTAACCACTATGCATACTGTCTCTCCACACAGAGGAATAGAAGATAGGGAAGAAAGAAGATGAATGTGGTTAAACTTGATCATTGTGGGTAGTTAAGCAAGGAATGGTGTAAGCAACGATAATTTGTATAGAAAGGTACATCTTAACAGAACAATTCCTCATTATCAAGGGTAATCTTTACATGAAACCTAGAAAGAAGGAATTATTTCCCCGTTTTCCAGATAACAAAAACTCAGAAAGACTAACTGCTCCCCCATAGTTACACAATTAATACACAGTGAAGTTAAACTCAGATCTTCATTTCTAAGTACAGGACTCTACGCTATATGTCAGCTGTTCTTTCTACTAAAAAACCAAGGACAAATTGATGTTTCTGATTCTCTAGCAATAGAAAATAAGGTAACAAAATTGGGAGGAGCCCCAAGGAATTTGTCAGTTCCATGTGAAGTACAGAAAGCCTGCACTGAAGCATGGAATTGGTTGGAATTTTTTCAGTGTTTCCTGAATATAATATACATACAGAAAAGCATACATATCACAAGCATTGTTGAACTTTTATAAATGAACAAGCCAAATGAAGAAATAGAAATTACCATTCACTCCAAAATCTCTTTCATTCCCACTTTTTGTCACTATCCCCCACTCAGTAATCACTATGCTGACTTCTAAAACCATAGATTAGTTTTGCCTGTTTTTGAAGTTTACATAAATGGAATCATACAAAAAGTATATAATTCCATTTATGGAAATCGCTTCTTTCACTTAGTTTCACTTATCTATAAAATTCATCCATACTGTTGCGTATACTTGCTTTCTTAATGTTGTATAGTATTCCACTGTGTGAAGGTACAATTTATTTAGTGACTATACAAAGTGTTAGCAAACTACAATCCATGGGCCAAATTTGGTCCATCTCATATTTCTGTGTAGCCTGAAAGCTAAGAGAGTTTTCTACATTTTTCAATGCTTTAAAAAATCAAAAGAGTAACATTTCATGGCATGTAATAGTCATATGAAATTTAAATTTCAGTGTCTATAAATAACTTAATGGAACATATCATGCTCACTCATTTTCATGTTCTCTGTGAACTTTCACATTATAATGGTAAAGTGAAGTAGTTACAACAGAGACTATATGTAGTACTATTGCTTTGCACTGCTGCTCCGGGCACCAGAAATATTAAAGATGCACTTATAACTCAGTTTTGCCTCTTGGACTGCAAATTTACCATCTGGCTCTTTATAGAAAATGTTTGCTGATATCTTCCTTATGTTATTGATGGGCATTAGGACAGTTTCTAGTGTATACTATTATGAATAGTGCTGCTTTGCATATTTTAGTTTATGTTTTTGGTTAACATATGTAAGCATTTATTTTGGGTGCATATCTAGGAGTGGTATTGCTAAGTATTAGTATGTGTTCAGCTTAGTCAGTACTGCCAAAGTGGGTTGTACCAATTCCACACTCTAACCAGCAATGTATGAGAACTCTACTAGCTCCATATTCTCACCAGTGATATGTAGTTTATGTCTATTTCCTTTAATCATCTGGTGAATGTGTAGTGGTAAAGTGGTAACACAAGAATGGTTTGTAATAATTACAGCAACTTTTTTTCTAGGCTCTGCTAACAGTTTCACTCACATTACTGCTTTATAGATTAGCACATTTTATAGACATAAAAATAGTGAGCAGAGTGAAGGAATTTTTAGTCACACAGCTATTTAGTAGCAGGACAAATATTTAATTGACTTTATAGCCTATGTCTCTTCTATTACACCAAGCTGCCTCTCCATATGACAATTTAAAGAAACATTACACCCTTGGAGAGCAATAGCAGTATGTTCCACATCCAAACATTTATTAGAAAAAGGAGAGTGATGGGTAGTGAAAAGTAGGTACAGGGCGAGCATACCCTCATTTCTGCTACTTCTGCTGCCATGGTTAACTGTGCCTTCTGCCTCCCCTAAGTCCTCTGGCCAGATTTGTTTATTACATGTTCTGACAGTTGAGACCTGCGGTGAAAAATGATAACAGATTTGTATTCTCAAGATCATCTCCAGATGCTGACTAGAAGCACCTCTGGATTCATGAAATATTTGTCTTTAGTATTTCTTGATGATGCACGACTGAAAAAAAAAGTTCTAGGAGCACTTCAGCATAAATCATAGAGAATTCCTTTCTTTGGTAACATGGCATGTGTTTCTCTATTTCTTTAAGAAGAATAATGTGTGTGTTAATAATTTGGTTGGAATGGGGACTGAGCCAAGATGAGATGATCACGCAAATCATTATTGATGGTTTTTCGTAGCCAAATAATCTGTTCCCTCAAACCCAGAATTTGTCATCTGTAGGTGAATGATGCTGAAAGACCATATCTGAGTCACTTGCATGATTCCTCTCCTCTCCATTTATCCCAACCGCTACTTTTTCCCACCAGTTTTAAAGTAGACTTTTTAGTTTAAATTGCAAAACTCTCATATCCGCTTTAACTTACTCTCCTGCTTCCTCACCAACAAGTATTCAAATTGACCTAGAATTGTCCTGCTAATCTGTTTATGCTGTTGCCTTGAATAAATACTTCCATAGACTCATTATTGCCTATATCAGTGCTGTACAATCATTTTTGATTTTGTACTACTATTAAAATTATATCTATGAATTTTTATAAAAATTATAATGTATATATGAGGTATTTACTTATGAATTGCTATTTTTATACAAAAATATGAAAATGTACAGTTTTAAAGAATGAGGGAGCATATATCAGGGATCAAACTTTTTCTTAAAAAAAAACAGATAGTAAAGATTTTAGGCTTTTGTGGACAATATCACAGCTCCTCAACTCTGCCGTTTAGTGCAAAAGCAGCCACAGACACTCTGCAAACAAACAGGTATGACTGTATTCTAATAAAACTATATTTTAAAAATGACCAAATTTGGTCTGCAGTTCATATTTTGTCGATACCTGATACATATCTTTAGCTACTTCAGATGTGAACCAAGGTCAAACTGGACCCAAGAACTCAAATACTCCTGACTTTCTTCTTCATCCCTGCTGTGCACGTTTACCCTGTTCTCCCTGTGGCTGCAGCCTGGCTTCCTCTGCTCCATAGGCTACCACACAGCAAAAGCTGGCCAGTAGCAGATGTCAACTTTGATATTACAATCCAGGCACACACCAAGAGGCTTATTTCACTCTCGGTTCTAGAAGAAATTTCCCATAAAAAGACTTGTTCACTCAACTTAGTGTGCCCTTGCCATTTCCTCAACATTATATCACATGGAGATTTTTACCACCACCACTCAGATGGAGGGAAAGGGAGCAGTTTCTCCAGAAGGCATGACAGGCAAACAACTTTCTCAGTATCTTCTACCATAAGGAGCAGCACAAAGAAAGAAGTAATTTTCACAATAGATGCAATCATTTTCACAAAGAAAAGCAACTGTAGTTATTAAAAAAAATGAGAAATAATTGTCTTATATTGCCAAGCACTTATTGTGCATAGAACTATGCAATAAATGGGTATGACTGTGTTCTATGCTGTAGTTTTTTTTTTTTTAAGACAATGAGTGGTTTTCAAATCTCTTTTAGCATTCATAGAAAGAATGTGTTATGTTTTGCTGTGGTAACAAACAACTCTAAAATCTCAGTGGCTTCAGAAAGCAAAGATGAATTTCTTGGTCACACTACATGGCCATCACGAGTTGGCCAAGAGTTCTTCTCCCCTTTCTCCATCAGGAATACATGTAAACTGAACATCCCCCAACTGTCTCCCATAGCAGGAAGATAAAAAGGGGGTGAACCAGGCAAATCTTTAAAGGTTTCTTCTTAAAAATAACATGTACTTCGGCCACTTACATTTAATTTGCCTAATCACTCAACTTTAAAAAGGTTAAATGAGCAATTAAGCTATGTCCTTGGATTATATTATTAGTACCAATTACATGCTGCTGTCCTGCAAGAGGATGGTGTACCTTCACCATACATTGTTATGTGACTGTGGGACAAGTACACGTTCCCATTTCATCAATATCAGGCTTGGCCATATGGCTTGCTTTGGCCAATTAAATGTAATCAGAAGTGATATGTGTTACATTTGAGCAGAAAATGTAAAGCCACCATTGTACATGATAGAACAATGGTTCTATCATTGTTCTTTTTCCTGATATAAAAATGATATGTCCCAAATAAGGGCTGTTCAGACAGCCTCTGTTCTAGAATGAAGGTGATACATAAAGTGAAGCAATGCTTACCTACGATCAACATGCAAATACATGAGAAATGATCTTTTGTTCTTATAAACCGCTGAGAGTTTGGAGTCTTTTGTCATCGCAGTGTAACCCAGAAGAAGATGACTACTACACAGAAGAACAAGAGATACCAATAAATAGCTCTAATGACTAACACCACCAGCTTTTATAATGACAAAATTTTTACCCACTTGCCTCTGTGCACACACTATACACACACAGCCCTCTTCAAGGAGTCACCCCAACAGTCTGTCCAATTACTACATCAAGATATTGGCAGGATATTCTTACAAGGGCCCTCTCCTTGGATTGCAAATAGTTGTGTTTTCTCCCTTGTCTTTGTGTGGCCTTCCCTCTGTGCCTGTCTGTGTCCTAATCTTCTCTTCTTATGAGGACAACAGTCAACATGAACTAGGGATCATCTATATGATACTATTTTAATTTCCTTTTTATTTAAAGGCCCTATCTCCAAATACAGTTGCATTCTGACATACTGGGGATTAGGACTTCAATATATGATTTTTGGAGGGGGGACAATTCAGATCAAATACTGGGCTATATGCAGCAACCTTTTCATCAAAGTATTTGTGCAAAGTAATCTTTTTATCAGGTCCAGATGTGGCTTCACTTGGTCTGAAGACCTATGTACCAATCATCTGTCCCATACACACCCAATATACAAGAGAACAGAAAAGCCACAATAAATAACTTCATTCAGAAGTGGAAACTGTAGGAGACATATAGTAGACATTGTTCCATAATAAATCAGAAATCCTAACAGGCAGAAATCTTGAAGGTCTACTACTTAGGAGTAGAAAAGACGCCTAGGTAAAGCTTGACTCCATACTCAGGGAGTATTGCCTTTCTACGTTTATCTCCATTATCCTTGGCTCTGGCCTCTGGAGATCATACCTTTTAATTACAGGCATACTACGGGGATGTTGCAGATTCAGTTCCAGACCTGATTCAGTTGAGCCTTCAGCAAGTCCTAATCTTTTTGATCATGGAAGGTTATGCCCATATTGATGGCTGTTGGCTGGTCAGGGTGTGGCTGCAGAAGGTTGGGGTGGCTGTGGTAATTTCCTAAAGTAGGACAATGAAGTTTGCTGCATTGCTTTACCTCCTTTCATGAAAGATTTGTCTGTAGCATGCAATGCTATTTGATGGCAAATTTTAAGATTTTTATTTATTTTTAATTGACATAAAATTTGTACATATTTATGGGGTATATAGTGATATTTTGATACATATAATATACAGTGGTCAGATCAGGGTAAGTAGCACACCAATCATCTCAAACATTTATCATTTATTTGTATTGGGAGCATTCAATATCCTCTCTTCTTGCTATTTGAAAAATGAATGTGCTGTTAACTATAGTAATCCTATAGTGCTATAGAACAATAGAACATATTCCTCCTATCTAGCTGTAATTTGTTTCCTTTAACAAATCTCTGTTTGCTCCCTTTTTCCTACCCTTCACAGCCTCTAGTAATTTCTATTCTCTTTACTTCTATGAGGGTTTTATCTTCCCCACATGAAGGGGAACATGCAATGTTCAACTTTCTCCTTCTGGCTTATATCACTTTATATAATGTCCTTCAGGCTCATCTATTTGCCACAAATGACAGGATTTCATTCCTTTTTATGGCTAAATAGTATTCCATGTTGCATATATGCCACATTTTCCTTATCCATTCATCTGTTATTGGACACTTGAGTTGATTCCTTATCTTTGCTATTGTGAATAGTGCTGCAATAAACATGGGGTGTAGATATCTCTGTGATACACTAGTTTCCTTTTTTCTTAGATATCTACCTATTGGAATTGCTAGATCACATGGAAGTTCCATTTGTAGGTTTTTGAGGAACCTTTATGCTCTTCTCCATAGTGGTTGTATTCTTCTGCATTCCTACTAACAGCATGTAAGAGTGCCCTTTTCTTCACAACCTCAACAGCATTGGTGATTTTTTTTAATGTTTTTGATAATAGCCATTTAAAATGGGATGAGATAATACCTAATTGTGGTCTTGATTTCTATTTTCTTTGTGATTAGTGATTTTGAGCATGTATTCATATATTTGCTGGCCATTTGTATATCTTCTAGTTAGAAATGTTTATTCAGATCTTTTGCTAAGTTTTTAATTGAATTATTTGATTTCTTTGCTGTTGAGTGTTTGAGTTTCTTGTATATTCTGGATGTTAAGCCCTGTCACAGAAATAGTTTATAAATATTTTCTCTCATTGTGTACATTGCCTTTTCACTGCGTCAATTGTTTTCATTGTTGTGCAAAAGCTTTTTGGTTTGATGTAATCCCATTTATTTTTGCTCTTGTTGCCTCTGTGTTCGAGGTCTTATTCATAAAATCTCTTCTCAGACTAATTTCCTGGATCATTTTCCCTGTTTCTTCTAGTAGTGTTATACTGTCAAGTCTCACACTTAGAATTTTCATGTATTTTGAATTGATTTTTGTATGGGGTGAGAAATAAATGCCCTTCAAAATTGGAATCAGTCTTCTCAAACCCTGCTGCTGCTTTGTTAATTAAGTTTATGTAATATTCTAATTGTTGTCTTTTAAACAATGTTCATGGTATCTTCACTAGGAGTAGATTCCATCTCAAGAAACTACATTCTTTGTTCATCCATAAGAAGCAACTCCTCATCTGTTCAAATTTCATCATGAGATTACAGAAATTCAGTCTCATCTTCTGGCTCTACTTCTAATTCTTATTCTCTTGAGATTTCTAGCATATTGGTGT